TTACTCAAGCCCACTAAGTATGTTATGCGTTGTTTTCCTCTCTCCTTCTTGCCTTCTATGTGTCCTGTGAGCATCAAATTTCCCAAGCCCTCTTTCCTCATTATATGCATTGGCCATTTCAATTGTCTCTTACTGATGTTAAGTATTAGTTTCTTTTTTCTTTCCATTTTCTCCAAAATGTTGACGTTGCTCACATGTTCGGACCACGGCATCCTCCTCCTCCTCTTATAGAACCAAATTTCTTTTCCTTCAACTCTCCATATACCCAAATTACACATTATAAAACAATCAAATTTAAAATTCTCAGCCTTTCTATTTCGTTCGTGGGCATATATAGTTGCAACGATTTTTTTCCACTACAATTGTTCTTGATATTTATAAAATTATTATATATCGTTATCCATATATATATATATATATATATATATATATATATATATATATATATATATATATGTGTGTGTGTGTGTGTGTGTATGTGTGTGTGTGTGTGTGTTTGAATAAAAAACAGACCACGTTAAGATTCCATGTAAAATGAAAAGAAATTCACACGTTTTTTACGGACCTCATCAAGTATACGTAAAATTAACGAAGTGAGGAAGTGAGGTGGGAGAGAGGATATGAGTGTGTCATATGTATCATTTCAATTTCCTATTTTTAACCCCAGTGTGTCGACTAGATGTTGCTCAAATTTTTCATTTCAACTTTTGGAAGTAAAGTCTGATGATCCAGAACCCCTGTTAAAGGGGTTATGGTGAAATAGCTTATTACATGGAATCTTAACGTGGTCTGTTTTTATTCAAACATATCTGCTCTGAATTTTACATTGAGCTCTCTGGATATCATCCTCCTCGGGTCTACCCATACGGATTACCTAAGTTTGCATAAACTATATATATATATATATATATATATATATATATATATATATATATATATACCGTCCTGGGTAAGACGATAAACTACATCCAAGTGCAAGGCCTCTGATCAGGAGGTTTTGAGAATTGTAGAACCACCTCTTAATTGCTGGTGTTCCCCAGTCCACCCTGACCCGGAGTGGTAGCATCTGGCAGGGTCCCAGTTATGAGCAAATAGCTAACTTCCAAACTGGGGTCAAAACAATGAAAGTGTAAAAATAATTTTTAATACCAGCAATGAATTTTCGAAGAAAAAAATTATTACCAGCAGTACATTATTTCCATCAATACATTTTTGAAAAAAAAATATTACCAACAATATATTTAAAAAAAATATATATCACCAGCAATACATTTTTGAATAAATAAAAAAAATATTAGCAGTAATAAAAATCTTGTTGGCATTAAATAACCCATTGAGGTTGATATGTAGAATAAACCAAACCAAATCTATATATCCATATATATGTGGGACACCTCGAGGCGGTGTAATGTTTAGCAAGCTTGTCTCGCTAGAACAATTACGACTGAGTAGTGAGTTCGAACCTCACTGGGTTCCCCATACTTTCGGCCTTGTGACATATCTAAGCTACCTTGGAAAATCGATATATATATATATATATATATATATATATATATATATATATATATATATATATATATATAACAGTTATCTTGCTTTCAGCAATGGATCTGTATTATGGCGGTCGGAAATTAATTACCTTTTAACGGAAAGTTTAATTTATTTAAACATTATTTGTCAAAGATATAATAGCCTTCATTTTCAACGATTACAGGCCAACGACAAATTTTCGATTCATAACTTTTCAACGTAATTTACCTTTCACTCTATCGACATTATTTTTTCCTTGCCTTTTTTAACAAGATATTGTTATTACATTGCTCTGCTGAAAAATAATACCTTTCCTGCTTACCAAAAGCGGACATATTCGACGTAATACATCGTTTGCCTGATCATGGCAATAAACGTCTGATGGTTCTTCCATGATGCAAAGATCGTAATGGAAGACATCTTTGCTATTCCATCAGACTCAAAGCAACTACTGCTAGTTACTCATTTTCTTATAACAATTATCTTTTTTCGTTAGACACGCAAAACCCATTTTATCACCTGTTACAATGTGATGCAAAAAGGAAAGGTTCATATTCTTAGACTGTTGCAGAAGGTGAAATAATGTGTTGGGTTCTATGCAAGTTTCCCCAATTCCTTTGAGATGTTTGTGGACAGATGTACACGCCACATTAGGGATTTGCACCATATTTCTGGTGTTTTAGCATGAATCTGATCCAATATTATCGTTCAAAGGTTCCTCATTGACAATGAATTTTCTTCTAGGTCGAGGCTTGTCGGATATCTCGAAATAATTATTTTTAAACATTTATACCACAGCTACCATGTAAAAAGCTTCACTGGATCTGAAGACACCGCAAAAATGTTTTTTAAATGTCTCTGTAGTCGTTTTAACCTTTCAGAATTCATAAACTAATCGACGACGAATGTGATGCTTTTTTATTTATAATCCTCCGTTGGGGTAATATTATAACTCGCTTCTAGCGGGTATAATATAATATTTTGCTTTGACTACTCGCTGTGACGTTATTAGAAATTCTCGCCGACTAATTCTAACGGACTGGCGGAATACACAGGCAGAATGTGGAATAAAGCTGA